TCCTCCTTGTTTTCTCTCGAGTCATTTCTGTAATGAGGGAAGCTAGCTATCATGTGATGGGGGCACTCAAGCAACCCTATGGAAAGGCATACCTGGTAAAAAAAAATCAAGGCTTTCTGCCAACAGCCACAGAAGTAACCCATCTTGGAAGTGGATCTTCCAGCCTTCAGACTACATACACAGCAACAGCCTGACTGTAACTTTATGAATGACCCTGAGTCAGAATCATTCAGCTCAGCCTCTATCTGTGCTGGATAACAAATGTTTACTGTTTTCAGTGCTACATGTTGGAATATCTGTCACGCAGCCATTGGCAACTAATACACATTTTAATTGACAAAGAAATATAAACCACAAGTTCAACAATGGCAGAGTGGCTCATATCAGACTAACTATTCTAAAGATAATAATTATAAATTCTGGACAAAATATTTATTTAGGAAAAAAAAAAAAACATTTAAGAGTGTTAGAGAGCAGCCAGAAGAAGGCAGAGGCAGGTGGGGGATTCAATTATTGAAAGAAAGGAGCCGTGCTGGGTATGATCTAAGTTTACACAATTTTTCCTGTAAAGGAATTACCCATTTCTCTTGGTGCACAGAGGCTAGAACTCAGTCAGGAAGGGGTAATCTTATTCTCCTAAGCAGACAGGGGATGGAGTTTGGGGCTTCCAGAGCAGCTGAAAATTTAGAGACGAAATCTCAGAAAGAGCTACAGAGAACATATAAACTCTACTCAGTCACTTGGTTGAACTCTGAACCGTACACACTCTAAGACATTCGATAGGAAAATAACAGCCAAAAGGCTAAATAAACTGAGCAGGTATTTCACCCACAGCCCATTGAGGACAGGGAACTTGGAATTTGAGTCTTGCTAAGTTAGAAGTTTTAGTAAACATTTCAAACTTTCCATTGAAATACCAAAACAGTCATGTTCTAGGAGTAAAGACTATAATGCTTTGGCTAAGGGATTTTCCCCAAAGCTATGAGCAAATTAAAAGGAGACCAACTCTTAAAAAATGAATAATTAAGTCTCCACAAATTCACATTTAACTGACTGCCAGAACAAAACTCAACAGCATTTATACAAAGAGAATCCAGAATCTCTACAATGTAACATAACAGTGTCTACTGTACAAGAAAAAATTACTAGGCATGTGCAAAGAAACAGGAATATGTGACCCACTGTAAAAATAAATATTAGTCATTAGAAACATTCCTATATATGGCCTAGATATTGAAATTCATTCAAGAGACTTTAAAGTCACTATTACAAACATGTTAAAGAGCCTAAAATAAAAGATAAATATAATGGGTGAAAAGATGGGGAATCTCAGGAGTGATCTGAAGTCAGAAAAAAAAAAAAAAAGCCAAAGAATAGACTGGACACAACAAAAGAAAGGATTTAGTGAACCCAAAGAGCAATTGAAAAAACCTAATTTGAAGCACACAGAGGAAAAAGAATTTTTAAAAAATGAACAGAACCTCAATAACCTATGAGGTGTGTTAAGCAGTCTAACAGCTGTAACTGGTGTCCAAAGTGAGGAGAAATAAAATGTGTTGAAAAAATATTTAAAGAAATATTGACAAAATCTTTTTCAAATTTGATTAAAAAATAACAACCCACTAAGAAGCATTGCAAATTCCAAACTGGAATTAATACAAATAAAATTACACAAAAGGACATTATAGTCACAGGCAAAGCACAGGTAGAAAAAAAAGCATTATAAAAGCAGCAGGAGGAACACACCTCACATAAGGGGAACAACAATCAAGATGACAACTGACTCATCATCGAAGCAATGGATGCCAGAAGACAATGGAATAACATATTTCAGGTGCTGAAACAAAAACATGTCAAGTTAGAAGGCTATGTTCAGCAAAATTTCTTTTAAAAAAACGTGGTGATACTTTCATACAAAATCTGAGAAATTCTCACCAGCATACCTGAACCTCAGGAAGTACTAAAATAAATTATTCAGGTGAAGAAAAATGAAACAAAAATGGAAATCTGAAGCTAGAACAAGTAAGGAAGAGTGCTGGGAGGGTACATATATAGGGAAGTATATTTCTTTTTATAATTCACTTAAAACCAACTGAACATTTAAAACAAGAATAGTAGCAATGCACTGTGGGTTTATAACGTATATAGAAAAATACATAAAAACAACAGCATGAAGGATGAGAGTGTGAATTGAAATATTCTGTTTTAGATTTACACATTACACATGAAGTATACCATTAATTCCAGATAGACTGGGGAAAGTTAGGTTATACATCATACTCTCTTGAGTGACAACTAAGAATAAAAGGTATAGCTTCATGGTCAGCTCCAGGGACATCTCTAAGAAATTTCCTGCCACATGCTAGCACACTCAGAAAGGGCATCTAGGTTGGGGCACCCAAAGATTGCTCTACTCAGAGGTGGGCTTGGAGAGGGGGCAGAAAGAAGGGGTGGCTGCCTGTGTAGATAGACTGAAGCTGTCTGTGTACAGCATCTTTGGAGTCATTGGCTGTCATGGGATCTTTGGGTCAGGGCCAGCCTCAACCCCACACCAGCCTTTCCATACAGTCCAACCTCATAACCCCTATCTGTGTGTGGCAGGCTCACCTCAGCTCTGTGCTGCAGACCCCATTGTGTCATCAGCACTCCCAGGTGCAGTTAAATCCTCTGGTGTTGAGCTCGAGCCATATCTCATGCTTCTGTCCTCACCGAATGCTTGTCCTGCCACTCCTGGGGCTCCCTGTCTGCTCCTCCTCCCCATCTGCTCCATTTCAGTGCATGGGCCTGTACTGTCTTCCATGTTGGTTCCCACCAAAGATATGCCAAGCTCCCAGAAACCTCAAACTGTGCTTGTCAACTCCTTCATCTCCTCCTCAATGTCTAGCCCAATATTATATATGCAGTACATGCTCAACAATAGTCAATGCATTAATTTAAAAACATTCCTGTTCCCAAGCCTTGCAAATGGAGCTGCTCCCTCCAGATTTGAGAAACTTGGGAATACAATTTGGCAATGAGTGTAGAGCTATCTAATGACAACAAACTGTCTTTATTTCTGGGAGGGTCTTTAAGTGCATTACTTCTACTGACTCCTCCCTACCATTCACGATAGTCCTCTAAACCAGCACTTCCCAAATAATCACTTGTAGACAAACCCTCTGGATATCTTGTTATATGCAAATTCTGACTCAGTAGGCCTGGGATGGGGGATTCTGTACTTCTAATAGCTCCCAGAGGTTGTCGATGCTGCCAGTCTAGGGACTTTGAGGAGCAAGGCTCAGACAAACAAACCCAAAGATGAGGTCCACTTCCTCACTCAGAGCAAGACAGATCATTCTTATTCTCCCTCAGAGTTTCCACAGAGGGACGGAGCTGCTCAGTGACTCTCTGCACACTTAGCCCTGAGCCAATAATCTCACACATGGAATCTGACTTCATCATCATAACAAACCTGGGGTGGCAGCTGCATCATCACCACCCTCCCCCCTACACAGAAAGATGCCTTGGCTCAGACAGGTTATGTGAGTCATCCAAAGACATACAGTCAGTGAGTGGTGGGAATGGAAGTGGTGCCCAAGTCAGCCTGATTCTATAGCTCCTGGAGAGACTTCTCAGGGATCTTCACATATCACCAAGGGTTCCAGGGAGAACTCACACATCTCAGCGTACAAGGACCACCCACAAAGGAGTGAAGCCAGTTGACAGAGTCTCCTGATTTGTTCTGCAGAACACACCCTTGGGGGGTTAATTCTGACATAGAATGACAAATCCCAGCCACTTCAAATTTGATTTCCAAGGGGAAAGGCAGGCAGAGACTCTTAATTAAGTAAAAGCTGGAGACCCTCTTTTCACCACTCAAGAAATACCCCAAGGACTGGGTGATCTGGGGAACGCCTGGCCCAACCTCCCCATCGTGCACTTCTTGTAAGTGGAGCAAGGGCCTGCAGCGGCTCTCACAAAGGCTTGACAGCAGGAGCAGCAGCAGCACCCTGGGAAGGCAACTTCCCACCACTGTCATCTGACTGGACAAGAGCACCTTCCAGGCAGAAAGGCCTCCCTCATGAAGCTGGCAGTCCCTGAAGGCTATCTGACCCCCCTCCTCTGCTCTCATCCTCTCAGGTTCTGGCTCAGTGATGAGCACCTGGCAGGTACTTCAGAATACTTAGTGGCTGAGCTGTCACACTGCTAGGCTCTGGGGAGGTACAAAGACGTGAGACTCTACTCCAAAGTCCCATGTTAGTAAGGGCAGCTTGACTGACCAATATGAGAAGCTAAATAACAAAGTCAGACACACCCAGGTCGGGCACTGCTCCTGAAGGGGCCTGGAAGAGCTGACTCCTCTGATGAACAAGACTGGGGGAGGGAAGCTAGATTCAAGGTGCTTTACAGAGCAGAGTGGGCGTGAGCTGGCTGTCACAGGGGACTGAGCCAAATGGAGAGGCAGGGAGAAGCAGGAATGGGAATGGTTGAAGACCAGGCATCAACAAGGAAGACTGCGCATGTCTGAGGGACAGTATGACAAATGTCCTGTGACTACGGTCAAGAACAGGGGCAGGAGAAGTAGACTGGAGGCTTGAGTGGGAGCAGCGGCCTAGAACAGCCCTTCATCCCAGGTAAAGACTGTAACTCTGGGAGGTGACAGAAAGCCATGGAAGAACTACGAGCAGGGAAGAACTGACATAGCCTTTGGGAGGAGTGGGCTGGTTACCAGTAGCAAGTCAGCATCCAGGCTAGTAGGGTCAGAGGAAAAGGGGTACCTTTCTGATGGGACCTGCAATGGCTTTCAGGCAGGACACTGAACAGTTCCTCTGTCTCGAGGATCCCACCCCTCTGTACCCATTGTCAGGGCCATGGCACAGATGACACTGCTGCTTCCAGCCCAGGGATCTGACACGGCCGAGGCCAAAGGATGGGAGGCTGCTGAGACCTACAGAAAAGAGGCTCTGCAGCACCCCTGCTCCAGGCCCCTGGGCTCCCAGGCTGCCGCTCCCCGGCCTTACCTCCTATTTTTGCGTTGTATGCTATGCCCACGATGCAGTAAGAGTTGTTCGCTGAAGCAGCAACTTCTCCTGCACAACGAGTCCCGTGTCTGAAGCAAAGGGGGAAAAAATAGTTAGGACCCAGCCCAGCACATTTTAGTGAATTCAGCAAACTGCTCAGTTCTTGAGCAACCAGACAGTCAGTTTTCCCAAAGCCTGGGGTTAACACGGAAGCCCATTCCCTGCCTTCCCTCTCATCACCACCCCTCCTCTGGAAGGGAGCACCAAGTCAAGCTTCACACAGCCCTTCCTGCTGCCCTGCACATGGCAGGTGCTTGCTCAAGAGCTGTCTTTTCCAGGATGCCTTCCCTGACCCCCAAGTTGGAGTTGGGGCACCTGCCCCCAGTGCCCGTGGCCCATGCTTCCCAGCACTTGCTGTTGGCACATGCCACTGCTGTAGAGGGGCTCGGGGGACCTCAGCTCTGTGTCTCCTGTGACTAACAACATGTCCCTCAGCACACACAGGTGCAGCATTGATGCTGGCCTGACCCACAGGATGGAAAAAAGAACAAACTGGTGTTTATGACCCACGTCTCATCCCCTGTGCTCCTACAACGCCATGCTCACCCTCGGATAGCACTTTCTTCATTTCTATAGCCATTGAAGCAGAAGCTGATGAACAACACTCTAAATTAAACACTCAACAGCAAGCAGCTGGAGGACGATGAAGAAATTACCAGAAAAACAAACTGCTTTCCTCAGTAATAACCCCATTCTCTGATATGCCACATCAGGTCGATTCCTCTAGCAGGGGCCAAAATATGGGCACCTTTAAAGAGCACATCTTCTAGATGAGTCCACAGGGAATGAGAATCATTGATTCATATTTAAAGCTGCCTTTACAAATGTCCAGGGCCCATGCACCAGCCCTTTGGAAGGGAGTCATCCATCGTCCTCTGGAAGCCATGTAGCCCACAGCCACGGCTGTCCACATAGTCAGAGCTCGATGGCTCATGATGGATTCAATCCTGCCCTTCAAGGGTCACTGCGTGGTATCTGAACCATTCAGATACCAAATATTTCCTCCCTCTGTCCCAGGCATTCCCACTGCTGGGCAGAAAGGGCACCTTGGGACATCTGTGAGGCAGGGAAAGCAGCCCAGGCTGGGCCTCTGCGGGCTCTGGGAGCTCTACAGACTGTTGTGCTAAATTCGTGGGACCCCTCTGCAGAATACCGTGCGAGCATCAGTTTGTGAACCTCAGAACCGAATCAGCTGCAAACTAAAGCACTGGGGCGAGAGGCTGTACCTGGGTGAGCATCTTGTCAACAGTGGGCAAGGAAGGTAGGGTTTTTGCTACTTTCCTCTAAATATTTTTGCCAGATGGTAAAAGTTCAGAGCATGGGGCAGACTGACAGAGAAGAGACAAGCAGGCACAGCAAGTGAATGCCCAGGACCAATCCCAGACTACCGTTTACACTGCACAAGTTATCTGGTCTCTTCAGACCCCATGTCTCCATCTGCAAAACGATGGGGACACAATAACACCCATCATTTCCTGAGCGCCTACTGCTTGCATTCCTCACACACCATCTCACTTACCGCCCCCCTCAACACCCAGTGAAGCAGGGGGTGTCACTGCCCTGGAACAGCCTCTAAGACAACAAGACGTGAGTCCCAACCAGGTCATCCAACATGCACAAAGCTACAAAGACAGTAAGTGGAGGAGCTGGGATCTGAACCTGGACTTGCCCAGCAACTCTCATGCCCCCTACACCCCTTCCTCCTTGCTCATAAGGTAACAGAGTTACAAAAACTAAGGCATGTGTGTGACCCATGTGCTCAAATACACCAACGTGTCATTTTAGCATAGCTGGTCATGGAGATTGCTAGACTCTTAGGATTCTTTTGAAATATTCCAAGAAGGTTGGTAACAGGAACAATGTTGTCAAACTACCAAGTCTAGCTGACAAGCAGTGGTAACGCCCCAAAGGAAGAGGCTAAATCCACAGGAGCCACCTCAGGCCTGAAGGGCTGTGCCTGGTGTGACTTGGGACTCCTGGTTAACCCCAACTCATCACCTCTCCAGATCCCTCGTGTGGACCCTCCATGGCCACTCTGCAGGGAGAGAAGAAATGCAGGGGAAGAGAAGACAGGGTGACATACTTATTTTCATTGCTGGCATCATATCGTGGTGATGGGTCATAGTCGTTTCCATTGACATCATAGCTTGCATAGGAATCCTAAGAAATTAAATAGTGAGTGAAGAGACATGGGACAGCATATAGTCCTGTTTTAAATCATTTCTACACTCAACTGCAAAGGAGAGAGACCATCCACAAAGTTTCTCTCTTTCTGTGACTATTATGTTATATATATTTATTGTAAAATACACATAAGATTTACTTAACCACTGGTAAGTGTACAGTTCTGTGGTATTAAGTACGTCCACAGTGCTGCACAACCATCACCTCCATCCATCTCCAGAATGTTTTTTCTCTTGTAAAACCAGAACTCTGTACCCATCACACACTAATTTCCCATTCCTTTCTCCCAGCCCCTGGCAACCACCAGTCCACTTTTTTGTCTATTAATCTGACTACTCTAGATACCTCATGGAAGTGGAACCATGCAGTATTTGTCCTTTTGTGACTGGCTTATTTCACTTGGTATAATATCCTCAGGGTTCATCCATGTGGTCGCATGTGTCAGAATTTTCTTCATTTTAGCTTTTTAATATGTATGTTTTTGTTTACATACTTGTAGTAATAGCATTAATATAATGTTTTGTTTTGTTTTGTTTTTTGAGTTGGAGTCTCACTCTGTCGCCCAGAAAGGAGTGCAGTGGCCGCTCCCGGCCACCACAGCCTCGACCTGCTGGGCTCAGGCGATCCTTCCGCCTCAGCCTTCCGAGTAGCCGGAATTACAGGCGTGCGCTACCATGCCCGGCTAATTTTTTGATTTATTGTAGAGATGAGGTCTCACCTTCCCAGGCGGGTCTCGAACCCGTGGGCTCAGGCAATCCACTCAACTCAGCCTCCCAAAGGTGCGGGATTACAGGCTGAGCCACCAAGCCCGGCTTAATGTTGCATCCTCCTTTTAATACATGACAAAAGCTTTCCAGTGTCACTGACATGGTCTTTAAACTCATTTCTAAGGCTGCATAATCAAATGGAAACAATATGATTTACCATCAGGTTCCTGAAAGTTTTTAATGCATTTTTCATATTAACTGTATGCCAAGCTCTCTTCTTCACATTTATCAACTAATTTGATCCTTATGATAACACACTGAGATTGTAGTCTTATTAACCAGTGTTATAGATGGTGACACTAAGGCACAGAGAAGTTAAGCAACTTGACCAAAGTCTCAGAGACAATAAGTCCCAGAGCCAGGACAGAGGCCCAGGCAGGCTGGGTCCAGAGCCCTCGCTTAACCCTGTAACTGTTCCTGTTGCTAATATCACCATGCATATGATTCTTAGTTCTTGAGGTTCCATCCCTAGAAGTATAGGTGACTTCACAAACATGAATGAGTTCTTCTCCAAACCCCTCTCGCTGGCATCAGAACGCTGGCAGGTAGCAGAATGTTTGTTTCCCTAGCCCTCTCTAGCATGGTTTTCTATATTGCCTAATTTAGTTGGGAAGGGATGGGGGGAAAATGACACCTTACTATTTTTTAAACTTGCATTTATTTAACAACTTGCAAGCACAGTTAACTATCTTCCCACATCAGTTCCAAGGCTTGACTTACATAATTTGGGGCCAGGTCAGGGTGATTCCTCTCTATGCCATCATCTAGGATGGTGACCACCACGTTTTTCCCCGTGTAGCCCCTCTTCCATGCTGCCTGGATGTTCATTTCCGACCGGCAGCGGCTGTTCTTGTCGTCACAATGCTGTATGCACAGAAGACACAAAGACCCCCAATGTGGGTACTCCTGGAGCAGAAGTGACATACTGTGCAGACCCCGCAGGGTGGTGCTGATGCTTCAAGTAAATACGGACACATCTGCCCCTGCTTCATACAGCGGAGATTCTGTCCCCCACCCTGATCTGGAAGAGTGAGCAGCAGGGCTCCTGAGGCTTCTTCTGTACTTGCAATCTGCCTCTCACTTTCCCAGGGCATCAGCTCCTGTCGGAGGCTGGTCTTCACCATGTAGACAGTCCTTCAGCCTGCTTCAAGTCGCTTCCCTACTCTAAGGGCATTCGCTGGGACTGTCACAGTTTCAGAAAAGATCCACAGGAAGGCTGTGCTGCACAGCCTTGAAGCAGGTGTTTTACACACTCAAGATGAAGTGTGTGTGTCTCAAGTTGTCATGTAAGCCTAGTTTTGTTGGGGGAAATTAGCTCAGTTCAGAGACCCAGCAGTGCAAATGCTCTTGGGCAGAGAGAGGCCCTGTCCTACTCACCAGGTACCACATGTTGGACCAAATGGGATCGTTGAAATAAAGTGCCTGTGAGTCACTTCGCACCTGTCTCTTCACCCTGCGCTTCACTTCTTGTTGTTGGAGCCATTTTACCTACCAGGAAGAGATACAGTTACTGTTCATTTTAGAAATGCTTCCCTGATTTCATGTTGCCTCTCTGTGGGTGCTATAAGTTTCCTTTCCATGATATCTGGATCATAGTAGATGTTTTAGATGGTAAGCTCCAAGGGGACATTTTCACTTCAAAGTGACTACATTTGAAAAATGAGAACTTGCTTGTGTATGCAGATGAAGAAATAATACCATTCTGATAGATTTTGAAGTCATTTTACTAGAAGAAAGGAAGGAAGGGAGGGAAGGAGGGAGGGAGAGAGGGAGAGAGGGGGAGAGGGAGACATGAGGGAGGGAGGGAGGGAAGAAAGGCAAGCCTTTGAAGTTGCCAATAAATTGGTGACCCTTGTTCCGAAGGAAAAGGAAATATATGTATGGGAAATAAGTGAATGAAGAAATTGCTCAAATTGTTATTGGAAACTGCTTTTCAGTGAGAACAAGAATCAGCAAATTATGATAAGCTACATATTGAAAATTTTGGCAGCCACTAAAAACATGGTACCAAAACATACACAGAGAAAACTCTAGAAAGGGATACAGCAAAATATTAATAGCCACAATTCCTGGGTGGTGACATTACTGCTAATCTAAAATTTTTAAATTATTTCAGGATTTTATAAATGTCTTTCAATCAGTATGATTTGCCTTCATGATCAAGGAAAAAGTCTGAGAGGCAGTACCACTGATATTTAAGAGTAAGGATCCAGGAGCCAGGCTGCCCGGATCCAAAACCCCACCCCACACTCACCAGTCGTGTGACTTGGAGTGGGCAGTTAATCTCATGGCCTCAGTTTGTTCATCTGTGGAATGGGGGTTGTCATGAGGGCCAGTATATGAACCAGTATACATAAAGATAAAGTGCTTGGACCAGTACCTGGCACACAGCTGTTCATATCATTATGCATATACATTCTTCAAGATGGAAAAGCTTTTTCATTTTTAAAGGATCTCAGGAAAAAAATTCAAAGGCCCAGTGTGGGAACATTTCCTTGGGTCTTGCTATAGTGGGTCCACCTGATTCAATAATGCTGGAAGCTGGGCTTCCAGTGCTAGAGCCTGAGATGGGCAGGACAAGGAAGAGCACCTGGCCCCTGATCTCAGAGCATCTGCACTTTATAGTTAGGGACTCCCACCAAGCAGACAACAGAGCCTGATGTGAACTCCAAACAGGGCAGGCTGCCTAGAGGAGGTGTCATGGGTTGCGCGGGAGAGAGTGGTGAAAGAGGAGTGGAAGGAAGTTAGAAGAAGGAGGGAGAGGCAGGGGGTCCAAAGTGATCCGAGGCTGGTGACCCAAGGCTGGTGATGATTCCAGGCTGGTCCTGGAAGCTGGAATTGTTGTCCAGTGAGGAGTGTTCTGAGGCTGCGCAGGCAGGTGTGACGGCACCAAGGGCTGAGGGAGAAACTGTCCCTTCCTTTTCTCCTCCACACTGTCAGAGCTGAACGGCTGCACACATGGCCTCACATTCAGGGGTGGGGACTGATCTTAAAGGTGTCCTTGGTGCACAGGACAAAATGCTCAGAGAGAAGTATCACAGCCTGACCCACCACCCATGTGATCAGCCAGTGAAACACCAGTAGACCGGAACCACTGCAAGAAGCTCAAAATCAATTTTGGGTTAGACACTTTAAAAAGCCACAGCACCACATCTTAGATAATTTATAACGGCCACTGATAGATACTTCTATGGAAAATAAAACTGTAAAGTGGGATATTTTGTTCATAACACCTGCTGATGGCATCTGGCAACGTCCCCATGTATTACAGCCTGAACTAGAAAGCTTTTACCTGGTAGAAAACACTGCAAACAATATTTCATAATCTGTTCAACGCCCATTTATAAAGTACAGTGGTACATAGGTCCCACACGGCTCCAAGCTCCTTCCCTGCCAGGCTTGCCAGGCTGGACCCTGTTCAAACTAAAGGGCCCTGGACTCACTCCCCATCCTAAGACCATCTAGCACCTTTTGGCTGCTGTGTCTACCAGGTCAGACTTCCAGTCAGGGAAGGAGGCAACTCCACTCTTCTGAGCCCAAGTGGATGCCACCCTACCCAACCCAAGTCAGTTGTGTGATACGGGAAAGCATGTTGCCAGAAGTCACAAAATAGTTCCCTAGAGGGATCAAAGAACCTGGGCAAACCAGCTCCTTACCGTTGCCAGGCTCTGGGTAAAACTCCGCATTGGCATATAGTTCCAAGGGTGGGCATGATAGCCCGGATCCGCAGCAGAGTGAGGGGCTCTTTTTCCAGTGTGGTGTGGGGGACAGCCCTCTCCCTGCTCACAGGCCTGCTTGTGATGTCTCTGACAGCAATGGAGGCACCATTGGGCCAATGGAACTGAACACTGTGCAAGAGATGACTTGCCAGGCACAGCGGTTTCTGGGCCTGAACTATAGTCACAGAGGGTGATTCACCAGCAGTCACTTGGTCCTGGCCTCCAGGCTCCAGTCACTGCCTCCTTCTCACCCAGCTCCAGGAAAGCACAAGGAGATCCCGGATCCTGCTTCCTGCCCACTGTAAAGGGTACACAGTTTTCCAGGTCCACCATCCCCGATTTCTCTGGAAAGTGGGCATCCTGGGGCCACTTATCCTGCTGCTCACTCAACAAAAAAGCATCGAGGCTTCCAGTGTATCTGGAGCCAGGTTGAGAAGATGAGCATGACTATACCTGGTCCCCCTCCAGGACCAAGGTGCCCAACCCCTTCTCCAGCTCAGACAAAAAGCTCTACTTCCAAGGCCCCTCAGGATGGCACCAGGAGCCACCCGGCTGCTCTGGGAAGCTCTAAACCAAGGGACTGAAACTTCAGCTCCCTCATCAAACAGAAGCAGCCACTGCCCACGCTAAAGGAGCACCTCACACAGGCATGTTTCAGGTTCCCATTACGTGACAGGTGAGGCTATTTGTAATAAAGGACAACAGAGTTTAGGGCCTCAAAGCATGGGTCACTCGTGCTTTTTCTTCTAGAACTCGCAAACAAATGGTAAGATAGTGAGAGTCAAGGGTCGGGGGAGGCCTGACTCTTGGACTATTTTACCTCACATATGCAATCATCTTTGTTAGAAAAAGCAACACAAGAGCCTTTGTAGGACTGAAAATATTCATTCTCTCCTGAGAGGGCCAGACAAATGGGAAGTCATAATGTTCCTCCGGTGGTTTACCTGGATTGTCACTTTACAAGAAGGCTTCAATCACAGGCTATGCACCAGATCCCCCATAACTTCTGTGGGGTGTTCAGACTTTCTCTTTGGGGAAAGTATATGGGAAGAGATAGTAGAATATGTTTATTCACCTTTCAAGGCCATAGATTTCTAATCTGGAAAATAAACTCTGAACCCAAGTAAACCTAGGAATGAGTGGGCCTAGGGCAAAAGAAAATACATTTTTGTGGCTATGTGTGTATGGTTAAGAGTTGAACTCATATAGGGAGACCCCCCCAACCTTCTTATGGAGAGGAAAATGTGGTACCTTTCAAAAGCTTCAGATCACTGGATTGAAGGAAGGGGAAATAGGTCTGACAAGAAAGTTCCTGCTGGTTCTATTCCATTCTCTCTAGGTTTTGGCAAATGTAGTTAAGATTTTTGCAGATATAGTAAAGGATCTTGAGATGACAGCATCTTGGGTTATCTGGGTGTGCCCTAAATCCAATAACAATTGTCCCTATAAATGAAAGACAGAGGGAGATTTGCGACATACAGGAACAGAAGACACCCACACATGAAGGCCTCCCAGGCCCATCGCTGTCAGGCTAACTACGTCCTTCCCTGAGCTTCAATGAGGCTAGACATGGCACCGCAAATGAAAGCTGCCCCAAAATGAGATTGCTCCTCACCCAGGTGCCACTCATCTTTCTGTGTCTATTTACTTATTTATTTATTAGACAGGGTCTCACTCTGTTGTCCAGGCTGGAGTGCTGTGGCACAATCCCGGTTCATTGCAATCTCAACCTCCTGGGCTCAAGTGATCCTCCTACCTCAGCCTCCCAAGTACCTGGGACTACAGGTGCATACCACCATGATCCAGCTTATTTTTTTATTTTCACAGAGACGACATCTCGCTATGCTGCCCAGGCTGGTCTCAAACTCCTTGGCTTGAGCAATTTTCCCCCTTAGGCCTCCCAAAGTGCTGGAATTACAGGCGTGAGCCACCATGCCTGGTCAGGAGTCTCCTAATTTGAAAGCACCTGTTCCCCACATCAGAACAAACTGAATCCCCTCCAATACTAGTGTCTTCTAAGGGTGCCAGGATCCCATGCCCTCTAGTTACCACCATGCCCAATGTCCCCTTGTATCTGGACAGTCACAATGGCTCCCTAGGGGTGCCCCTGCCTTCCTCCTCCATGCGACTGCCACATGACCAATCTCACGCCCTCAACCTCCTTCTCACTCCCCAGGGCCCTCCATGGCACGTGAGGCCTCTCCAGTCTAGTCTGCCTCCTCGCCCAGCACGCCTAAGTTTCTGAGAGCATCCCTGCAGGTTGAGCTCTTCTACAGGGTGGCTCTGTGTCTTCTGATAAGAAGACCCTTCCTCCTCCTCACTGGGACAACTTGTCTCTATCCTTTAACCCTCACCATCTGGAAACCTCTGACACCCAGGGAAGACAGGGTGGGGGCTCCCCTTCTGGGCTCCCATGCCTCGCTACGTGTCTCTACTGCTGCCTTCACCTCGACATGTGGGTATTATCTGTGTAGACATTCACCTTTCCCTTTAGAGGGAGGGATGTGTCTCAACCTCCTTGTTCCTCCAGCTCTTAGCAAACATCTGCCCTGTAGGAGGGACTTGACCAGCAAAGATTTGCAGGACTCAACTACTGCCCTCCTTCTTATGAAAAAGAGAGAATGGATCCTGGACAAAAGAAAGCCAGGCATGTATCTGTCAAAGGTGAGGGGCTGCCTGCGCCTCCCCATTCCAGCACAGGCCCAGTCTGTGGTAGGATACACGTGGGTGATTTGATCCTCCTCTGCTCCCCACTGTTTGTACACTCCA